TTATGGCTAGAATAGGGCTCCTCATTGCAGCCCTTCTTCTTGCCATTTCTCATGAAAATTGCAGTGCCAAAGCAAGCCATCAATGTCCAGCTTCTTCTTGTGGCAATATTCTGAATATTCATCATCTTTCTGATTAAGCACCAATCCACCAAAATGTAGAGACCTAAAGTATAAGTATAATCTATTCTTGATGTGAACCCCAAAAAGCGCAATAAGAACAAAGAGATTCAAAACCCCAAGGAAAGCCAAATAAGATTTATAAAAGACAAACTTTGACCTGTTATTTATATTGAAACAAAAACAAAAGATATAAAGGAATTTTGATGCCACACTCAAAAATGATTAAGAACGAGAGTAATAAATCAAATTAGAACGCCACAAAAATAATTTTAATAAATTCTGTAAAGTTCGCAAATGAACCAAGAGAAAAATTTCTCAAATAATCTCATATTCAATTAACGATCTCCAATTACGGTTACAACCCTTTAAATAGCTAAATTAGGCCAACTAAGAATAAGAAACTAGATTCTATACACAAATCCAGTTAAAAGTAGAATTGGATGTACACTACTTCTAAAAATGTTTAAATTTATATTATTCCTAATAAGACACGAACTAGACTTTCAATTAAAAACAATTTTTAGCCCAAATAACTCATAAAAAACACAAATTTAAGTGAAAATAACATACAAATCGTTCAAAACAACTTAAAATAATGCAAAATATCAGTTTGCGACATTGTAACAAAAGTGTGCATTTGTGGTCGAATTGAGTGATTTCGATCCAAACTGTATAATTTAGTCAAAACGACCTCAAATAAGTTGTTCTTGGACTTAAAAAATGTTTACTAAATCTTAACAATGCTTTAAGTTTTGATTTCCTTGTTGTGCGTTACTTTTAGCCTAAATCTCCTCAATAAGCGCATTTACAGCTTTTTGTATCTTTTTAACTCTTGCTTTTGTTAACAGACTTCCATGAGTATACAATGGTTCACTTGATGTCATATGTGTGTTGTCATCTTGATTCTCATCAATTTTGCTTGAACACTGTCACAATTTTACACCCTAATTCGGGAAAATTCTATGTGCAGGAAATCGATTATAATCACTCAATGATCAAAGTTGTGGATCCTGATGCTAATCAAGGTAACTATTCTTCACTACCTCTCTATTCCCTTGGCATTGATAAGCTCACAATAGACAGCAATCCATATTACTTTCATCCTGGAGAAGCTCATCATTTCCTAAACTGTGGAAAACCAGTAAATGATATTTGCTACGTGGATGCTTCCTCTTGCATTGATGCTACTAATTCGTCCAAGTCTAAAAAGGTATTATCATACTAAGATTGGAAGAACAACAACGTTTGAATTAGAGAAGTCATGCCAGATTGAGCTGATGGTTCTTTGTTCTTCAAGAGAGATGAGTGATAATAACATTACCTACCTAGATCTTCACATATGGATTTTGAGCTTTGGTGGTTTCCCTGCCCTTCTATATGGATTGGTACATAATGAACATATGTTGCCTGTTGATTAAACACATGCAAATGCAACTCGCTAATTTTGGATTTTGGTTCCTTTTTTTTTTAAATGAACTGTACGCAAATTCAATGTCTTGCTTCTCTCTAATTTTGGTATATGGTATCTTTTGCAGTTTTGGTCATGCATTACACTTATTTATCCTACACATCACTCGTATTAGGTAATTAGAACCTTTCTCTTCTGGAGCTATTGTTTTTCATTTATCCACGTTGCACCGTCTTGAATCATGAAGCATGAAAAATTCAAGTACATTTGATGAGATTATAAGAAAAAAATATTAAGAACTCCAGGAGAAGCAGGCAATATTTATCGGATACTTTATTTCATAACCAATTATATCAATAAATATCTTTTTATACTCACAGGTGTACTTCATGGGGTAGCATCTGCTCCCGCAATTCCAAGCTTCATCCTGTTTCTGTTATATAAATGGCAGAGAAGGCATTTATCTGTGTATGATTCTATTGAAGAATTCTTGCAAGGTAACAATAACCTTATGTCAGTAAGGTATTCTTACTCAGATATCAAGAAGATGACAAATGGCTCTAAGGAAAAACTAGGGGAAGTAGGTTTCGGCAAGGTTTATAAAGCAAGGCTTAAGAGTGGTGGTCTTACTGCAGTCAAGTTATTGGGCAAATCCAAAGTCACAAACCAAGATTATTTCAGTGAAGTAGCAACAATTGGGAGATTTCACCATGTCAATGTGGTAAAACTTATTGGCTTTTGTGCAAAGGGTTCAAACCACACTCGTGTATGGCTTCATGCCTAATAGTTCTCTTGATAAATACATTTTTACTAGGGAAGAAAGTACAACCTTGGGCTGGGAAAGACTATACAAGATTTCTCTAGGAGTGGCTTATGGGATTGATTATTTACACCAAGGCTGTGATATGCGAATCTAACGTTTTGACATTAAATCTTACAACATTCTTTTAGACAATAACTTCATCCCAAAAATATCTAATTTTGGTCTTGCAAAATTATATTCAACAAAAGATAGCATCATGTCCCTAACTGCAGGAAGAGGAACGCTAGGATACATGGCGCCTAAGTTGGTCTAGAGAAAAATTAGAGGTGTCTCACACAAGGCTGATGTCTATAGCTTTGGAATGTTGTTGATGGAAACAGCTAGCAGGAGAAGGAATTTAAACCCACATGTAGAGCATTCAAGTCAAATTTACTTTCCTACATGGGTTTCTCAACAATTGAATAAAGGAATGGAGCTGGGAATAAGAGGAGCCACGGAAGATGGAAAGAGAATAGCTAAGAAAATGATTATTGTGGCTTGGTGGTGTATATAGGTGAAACCAAGTGACCGTGCTTCGATGAACAAAGTGGTGGAGATGCTTGAAGCAGATCTTGAAAGTTTAGAAATGCCTCCTAGGCCCTTCTAAATATATCCATATGCAACTGAAGAAGATGATGCTAAAATGAAAACCAACTCCACAAACCTTTCTAGTTACTCGTCCTATGATGATATAGAGATAGAATCAGAATCAGTCAGTTTAATTGAAAATGGAAATTAAGCGAAAAGGTTGCAGAGAAGCCTAATTAAGTAGAGTTTTCTTTAGTCATGAGTTACACAAAAACAGCGGGTATCCATCCCCTTTTGCTACCCACTTCTCA